AAGAACATCCTGTATGTACAATAACTCGTCAGCTGAATTAAATAAATTTATTTTCATTAAAATTTTTTTGTGTTGCGCAATTATGTAGCCTTTCAATTTAAAAATTTCATAGTTCTAGGATCACTTAAATATAATGTACATTTAGTTGATTACAAATACATATACATAGTATAATATACAATGTGGATATAAAATTTGAAATGTTGGTCATAAATAAAAATAAAATATACATTTTAAAGTGTGCATAAAATCAGGGAAACGGATGAACCTTTTTAAGAGCCTTTTAAAAACAGCTTTCCTTTAAAAAAGGTCCATTCGCGTGAGACCAGACATTGCAGAGAAATGGTTGCTCCATCATGACAACGTCCCATGTCACACTGCCCTCTCCATAACATAATTTTTGACCTCAAAAGGCATACCTGTGGTTCCCCATCCCTCTTATTCCTCTAACCTCAGTTCCTGTGACTTCTTCCTTTTTCCTAAACTGAAAAATGTTCTCAAAAGCCGTCATTTCGGGACTTTAGAAATCATCCAAAAGACATGCTGAAAACCATAACGGTTAAAGACTTCCAGTGCTGCTAAGAACAGTGGGAACAACGTCTCCATCGGTGAGTAGCTGCCCAAGGGAATTACTTTAAAGGGGATAACATTGATGTTTGGAAGAATTAAAAACATTGTAGAGTAAAAAATCAGTTTCATTATTTTTCTGCCGCACCTCGTATTTATTAGAAACTGATCATATTCTTATAATTTTTTATATTCTGTGGTATTTATCTGGTTGAACTTATTTACATTTTTAAAAAATTCAACACAATACCTGTTTTTTTAAATTTAAAAATTCATTTAACCATCGCAGGATTAATAAATAAAATTTTGACAAAAATCCATGATGTACAATTTTTATAATCAGAAATGTCCACTTCAATATGTATTTAAATATTTCAAAAGTTCAGATAATAATTGTTCGAATTTTATTGGACAATAAAAAATGTAATAATTTTAAACATGAATAATTTATTTAGTAATGGCTACAAAATAAATGTATCTAAGTATGGATTTATATAATTTTTGATCCACACATAAAATATAAAATATAGGTAAAAAAATATTATTTGTAAGGATTTAAGTAAGTGTCATATTTTATATCCACATTATATACCTATTTCTTTTTAAACCACGATGCCAATATATACAGTTACAAACATTTATCAAACAAAAATACACTTAACATCAATACATAACATTAAAGAAATAATTTCTAATAGATTATAAAATTAAGATATTTTTTAATTTTTACGCTTTTATTAAAAAAAATTGAATTATATCAATACGGTAAAAACAATGTTATTAAATACAAGTATCTATATTTTTTTTATTATACCGCAATGTACATGATATATTCACAAACACATATGAACAAAAATTCAATTTATCAATTTGACACCAAATCGCTACGGTAAAGAATTTTATGTTCTTACACACAGTAAAACTGGCAATAACAAGCAGAACATAAAAATGCGACACTTATACGTATGTTCTCGCTGACAATACGCTCGCGAATATGGGCACCCTTTAGAATATCTCTGATATTAAAAAAAGCAATAGAAACAGTTTAAATTGCTTTTAGTTTTAAATGAACCACTTTTTTACTCATTCAAAATCGAATAATCAAGATAGGCACCTTTAATACTTGTGTTTAGAAAAGTTATTGCTTTTAAATAGTTATACAAAAATTCCTTAATAAAATTTGTTAAAATAATCGAACTCCCAGCAATGAAGATGATCAAATCTATTAATACATCAATTAAAATGAAATTCGAACGTTGCATTCTTTTTAATCTGTTAATCCATAGATCTGGTTGGTTTTTTGTATAATTTAATTCATCGTCATATTTGCTAGTTTCAATTAATAAAGCTCATTTAAATGGTGTCCGATAAATTTAACTGTTATATCGTGGTCTATCATTTAGTCATTGTACTCTTATTTTTTTTATCAATAAAAATAAACTAGTTCAAATTTAGTTGTACTCCTATAAAATATTTTTTTATTTAGTAGTATTATATACGTAATAAAGACTTTAAGGGAAGAGTTTTAACGAAACCATTAGTTCCTTTCAGATAAATCTGCTGGCTTGCTGAAATAAATTGTCCTGGGCCATCCTCTTTAAATTACAAATTACTTAGTGGCGAATAGCTTTATTAATGAGTTTCACCAAGTTTGATAATTTTGCACAATAAGCCGGTTGTAAATGTGAAAAGTTACGATAATATCCAACAGATAAACTTGTTGAATATTAAGATTATATTTAATATTTTGAATAAATAAAAAGTTCACTGGTTTATTCGGTCGTTTTTATAAAATTTAAGTACAGGTACTACATATGTTCCATCTTCTTGTGTCAGTCAATATTTAATAAAATATGAGGACGATTACAAACATTTATAAATAACAGAAACCCTGTATTTTTGTTTTACATCGTGTGAAGTTGTATTCGGAATAATATTATTAAATATTGACTGACAACTGTGTTTCCGAAACATATGTACTTAATTTTATAAAAACAATAAAAACGACATAATAAACCAGTGAACTTTTTATTTATATAAAATTCTACTACGGTCAGGAAATTATCCTTTTTAATATTTATAAAAAAACACAATTCTTATTATTAACAGTACTAGAATTTCAGGATTTTATTTTAAAGCTGACATTTTTAGAAAGTTTGTTTACTGGGAAACTTCGACGAAATTGAATTCAGAAAATCGAGATCAAATAAAACTAAAATAAAAGTGTTTATACAGGAAACCTGTAGTTTTTTTATTCTGTCAAATATAGTCTTTAATTCTAGGAAACACGGTTAAATTCTTATATTATATTAGACTATTTCTTTAATTTAATAGAAGAACCAGGTGAGTTTAAAAAACATATTTGAGAATAATTATATATTTTTTCAATATCTTACTGTTAACATAAACTGTATATAAGGTGGTACGCTACTGGTATAGTAGCGCAAACTGTGAGGCTATAAATATTCGATCTTTTCAATATTTCATTCTTATCAGATCTGCATATCAAGTATTTATTTGAGGTAAAAAAAACTGCCTCTCCAAAAAAGCAATTTTTAACATTGCTTCTAAATGGAAGAATATTACTTAGCAGCTTTTTTAAGATACAAATGAAAATAAAAATAATTCATAATCTAATTGATTTCAGCAGGTTTATAGAAATTATTTATTAAATTCATTATCAGACGATTTTTCTTTATAACTGCGGTTTCTATCTAACAATGTCTTCATGAATTAATTCATGAAGTCGCTTCATGGAGAAATTGATAGATGTAAAGCCAAACTTGACGTGAATAAATTCATGAATTTCTTCGAAATAAATAGAACATGTTTAATTTTTATCTAATTTTGTCTTAAAGTCAAAAACCAACCTACATATTGAATAAGATGTGTTTTTACAAGCCAACATTGTGTACGGCCTTCATTAAATATAAATTATATAATTATTAAAGTAAATCAAGTTTGATTTTTATCACGAATCTTCTAGTATAAAGAATGGAACTCTCATTCTGTAATTTTACAACAACAGTTAAGAAATAAAAACAAAAATTATGAAAATGTTTAACAAATGCATAATCATCATTCTGGTATATAAAAAAGTGGTTCATTTAATTAAAAACTAATATTTTTCGTCATATGTTTCCAACATGGGAAATCAGTTTTAACAAACAAAAAATATACAAGGGTTGCGGGGAAGCGTATTTCCCAAGACAATATAATTTATATTACAAATTCTAAACAGGGACAACAGAGTTACATTTTACATTTCAACAACCAATTCAGGAATACATTTTAACAATCGAGCAATGGAAGGAATTCGTAATCCGTGGGCTAAAAATTATGATTCTATTTCTTGTGAAATGATTGCTATACAAAACAATTGTAGTACATTAATTGCATATGTAGTTTATGTAGTACATAAATTGTTGTACATTAGGGCATTTGTATCAAAAACAATTTTGTCAAAAAGGTAATCTTTAAACTTTTGCTTTTGTAATATTTAATATATTTAAATATTTATGTATAGCTAAAAAAATGTGAAGATTATTGTATTTTTTAATTATAATATACAATGTGATTGCCTCTACTATTTCCTATAATAATCTCAATATATTCTAATTCTGAAAATTGCCATTTCTTTTGACAAAAATTTACCAAGGATCTGATTTAACTATCATTTGTACATAATCAATCAAACTGATTCGAAATAGTTTACATTTTCCCAATGAATTTTAAATTGAATGATTTTGAATATAAAAAATTATAAGTTTGATTATTTATGCAGAATTTAAAGGTGCAATAAAGTTTCTGAGACAGGAAAAAAAATTATATATACATTCTTAAATAATCGCATTACAGTCCATTTTTTAGCCCATGGATTTAATTGTAAGAAACATTAAATATTTTTTATTGAGATAAAAAAACTTCATTAAAAAAGTTTGTACCTCAAAAATAACATTAATGCCTCTTTAAAGAGTATTTGTTGTAATCCAGAAAGTTTTTATGACAATGCCAAAATTTTCTATCTCAATAATTCACAATCCTCCACCAAAATGTGTAATAATGAAAAAAATCCTCGCAACCACCAACATTTTAACTTTTTTTTTAAGTCTAATAATTTATCTTGTAAAAAGGAATACTTTCTATAGAACTTGAAAGCTCGAAAATAAGTAATGCGATTTATTTTTCCAGCTTTTAGTATTTTTAAATAGTATTAAGTATTTTACCAATTTTCTTACTTTATTTCTTATAAAAGTTAATAACATAATTGATAAAAATATTAATGGTGAATGTTTTGAAAGTTCCTGCTATTATTTTAGAAATAAAAATCATTTTTGACTCCTTCTAGGCGACTAAATACGAAACTTTCTGGAATACATTTATCTTACAAACTACATAGTAAGAAAACAGATCATGCTTACATCCTGGCTTACCGATGGATGGTCCCCCTTGACATTTTGGAGAGCCCCTTTCGCCGAGGCAGTGGGGGTTCGGGCTTCTGGAGGTAGGGCCCCCTGACTGCTGCCAGCGGGTGATTTGGCTTGAGGACTGCCTGTAGTCCTAAAAATAATAAAAACAAATCATTTAATGTTTAATACTATACAATGTAAGTATAGTTTACAATGGATTATTAGTTTTGAATTGTTGATAGTCAACAAAAGAAAATCATTTGAAGTTAATGTAATCAAAAATTACGTTTGTTGACATTTTTTAAGGAATGCGCATTAATTCGTAATATTCTTAAAAAAAATTTCTGGGTTGGTATAAATCTAACTTTTTTTTTTTAAATCGTAGCTATAGCTTTAAAAAACATGCTTTGAGGAGACATTATTCACAGCAAAAGTTTTTTTAATATCTTCTAGTAAAACAAATGCAATATTAGATTAATGCAGCAATACAGAAACCATAAATGAGTCTATACAAAAATCGTAATAAAAAACATTACAAAAAATACTTCATATTGAATTTACCTATATAAAATAGAACGAAAGATGGTTTTGTTCACATTGTACAGTAAAAATATTTGTAAAATTGAAGTTTAATTTCTAACTTATAAAACAAAACTTCTAGAAATAATGTACCTACTTAGAAATTTTTAAAATTATTAAACTCCAAAATAATATATTAGTAATGATTGTAAAACAAATTGTGTAATATATAAAAGACAGTTTTAAATAATTAATGAAAATGCCACGTCGATAAAAATGAATAATTTATTCATCGAACAGTCAGTGTATAGACAAAAGCTAAATCTTTTTTCAAATAATACGTGTTTTGAATAAATTAAGGCAACAGAAAAATATTGAAAGAATTATATACTAAATTATTCAGAAAAAGGTTATTAAAAACTGTCATTTTGAATCTAGACATCTTTAATTTCCTATGAAATTACATTTGAAAATATATTTTATTTTATAAAGAATTAATCGAAGAAAGTAGAATGCATTATGTTCAACTTTTTTTTTTTTTGGTTCATAAACGCTTCAACGATATTTTATACAGGGTGTAACAAAAATATGTACAGTTAATTTAATCACAGTTTCTGCGGTCGAAAACAAGTTGGTTACATAAAAAATGCAAAAAAAACGTTACAGTGTGTTGAGGTATAAATTTAAAAAGTGTTTTCTTGCGTTTACTATAAAATATATGTTTATGAAAATGTACACAGGATGTTAGTATACAGGGTGTCCCGAAATTAGACGGTCATATTTTAACAGCGTAATCTACATCCTAAAATAGGAGTAAAAGTTCATATAAACATAGGTCCGAAAACGTTTTTTTTTTCGAGATACAAGGTGTTAAAAGTGAAGTCCTGACGACACACTTTTGTAAATATTTTCTAAACGTTTAAAGATAACTAAGTGAAATTTAGTACAAATGCTTATCTTTTTACGCTATATTTAATGGTCTAAACGCCAGTTTTTGATCATCTTCATAGGTGGGTAAATTAGGAGGGGCTTAGGGTAAAATTGCCCTAAGTTTTTTTTGTTGCCAATTTTTAACATTTTTGACCATAAAATTTGGAAAACCAATGTTTTCTTTATAATAAAGCTACTTTTGTTGCATCTCGCTAGGACGCACCATTTTCAAGAGAAAAGCATTTGAAAATTTCGTGATAAGTTGATGTTATCTTATTCGAAAATGTACCAATAATTAGTAGGCCTGTGGAATCAGAAATTTAATTTTTTTTTAACTTTGGAAAACCAGAGACTAAAGAAATTTTAGAAAATATTTACAAAAATGTGCCATCAGGACTTCACTTGCAACACCCTGTATCTCGAAAACGAAACGTTTTTGGACCTATGTTTATATAAACGTTTACTCTTATTTTAGGATGTAGATTACGTTGTTAAAACATATAGTTCTTTACTGGTTTTTAAAAGGGTTCTGCAACCCTTTGACTTCCTACTTTTTTGGACAACAACATTTAGTTAAAAACCGGGCATCAGTAAGGCTCGCATCTATAAAGAGATCTCAGCTCAGTCGGACTTGGCTGTCACGTCCTTGTTCGGTTATAACTTCTCTAACTTTGAAGGTGGTTCCACTGAAATTTACAGACCGACAATAGCAAATCTGTATTTGTTAAGTACATTTTGTACTTGAATATCTCTAAAAAAAAGGTCTTCAACCAAGAACTTCCCCCCTCTTGTGTGGAACCTCTGAAATTAACAAAAAAATCCTCACCGCAGTTGCCGGGCCCCTCTTATACCGCCCCTGGGCCCCCATTTGAGCCCGAGCCCCGGGAATTAGTCCCGGCTGCCCCCCCTCTTGTCGGCCCTGAAGATGACGGGCCTAAAATTCTACATCTATTTTGCCTTTTTTCGTTTGTATGTATTTATTTTTAAAAGCTTTAATTACTGAGTCATAGGCCACAGAAGGAAGGTCATAGTTAAAACATCCAATAATGTTTCTATTAATCTTAATTTCTTCCACTTCATTTTTTTGGTATTAAATGAGGTGATTATAAATTTCTTCAGCTTGTTTGGTCATTATTTCTAACTTAACCTAATCTCCTAAAAATGTTCCTTCAATCCCTTCATAATATTTTCTTTTTCAGCTATTATTTTTCCGTTTTTCTTGTTTTTATATGATTAATGTTGTATTGTTTTCCTTTTTTGAGTATTGTGAGAATTCTATAAAATAATTTTTGACTACCTTGAGTATCGTCTTTCAATTTTTTGCTTCTTTTGCCATCTCTTTTACTTTTGTTCGTTGTCTTTTATATTCTTCATAATTTACGGTTGTTTTATTTCCTAGATACTTTTTCATGTTTGTTTTTTATTTTTCACTTCGTTTTTAATTTCTTGGTTCCATCATTTTGTTTGTTTCTTATTTCTTACTGTTACTGTTTCACATATCTCTTTTACAACTTTAGTTATTGTTTCCCTGAATTTTTATGCTGTTTATGTCTTCAAAAATAGTGCCAATGTCAATTTCTATTCTCCCTTCATATAGTTTTGCAATATCTTTTTCTTGCAGTTTATATGATCTGATTTTGTCTAACGTTTTATGCTTTTTATTATTTTTTGTATTTGCAATTTTATTTCCTGATTCTACTACTAATTTTGAGAATACATAATAGCCAGAATAAATTTCTGCTACTCTTTTCACTCTTGTATCTTTTATACAGAATTTATATTTCTGTCTCTTTCTTCTTTCAAACTATATCTATCTTGGCAGAGAAAAAGAAACAGCGCGTGTCGGTTGAAATAATTTTGAACTATTTCAATTCGCATACACACACACACATCGCTATACAAATATTAAATTATAATTCATTTCAGAAAGTTATTTTCCAGACTTCCCTGAAAATCCATGTATATGTAAATTAAATATTCCCATACTTGGATATTATATACCACTAGACCTTCTGGTAATTTATTATCCCATTAAGTCGAAGGAGCACAGGTAGCGACAAATATTTGAATTTGCTCTATAACTTTCACGAATTCTTCTAGTCTAGAGGAAAGATAAATCATAAAGCCCGGGTATTGGATTCGGAATTGATTTAGGATGCAAGCGGATGTAAATTTTCTCATATTTTCAGGGCTGTAGCCAAGCAATGTATGGCTTATAAGAGTCTACTTTGAGGTTTGAACTCATTATGGTTGATATTCAGACAAATAGCCTCAAGTTTATACGAATTTTATGAAATATTATCCGTCAGCTGTTTAAAGTCATTATTCACTGTTTTTTATGTCAGTTCAACCAGTAATATCCATTTTTTTCTATATTGTTTGCGAAGAGTATATATAATAATTTAACTTTGTAACTTCTGGCGTGGATTTGGGCAGATTTTTCAGAAGGGGAAGAGAAAGCATATACTTTTAAGTAACTATTAGTTACACTAACCAATAAAGGCGTGAGAGAAGATGATATTAACGGAAAAATTATGGCTAAAAGAGCCTTTCATACCAATAAAACATTCTCAAAAAAAATGTACCAAAACAAATTAAACTAAAAATGTATGGAACAATAGTAAGACCAGTAATGATGTGTGTAACGAAAGGTATACCAATTGCAAAGAAACTAAAAATTGCGTAGAGAAAGAACAAGAGAAATATAAGGCCCAGTAAAAATAGTTGAAAATGAATATAAACAGAGAAACAATCAGCAAATATTGCAAGATTTGGGAGAAGACTCAATCAAAAAAATTTAAGCAACAAAGGCAAAATGAATACATGCCTGGCGAGTGGATACGAAGAAATAATTAAAAAAAAATAAACCAGGAACCAGCAGGAAAAAATATACTACTTGTAGATTAAGATCGAAATTGATTCAAGAAGTTGAAAATTATTTAAATGAGATACAAATAATTAATTCTAAAAGATATTGCAATGAATAGAAAGAGATGGAGAACAATATGCAATGGAGTAGGATAAAATTAGAATGAGGACTGATCCAACCCGAAAAAACAAGCGGATTTGGAAAGTTTTAAAAAGCGAGACCATGTATTATTTAGCAAATGGGTTGTGATGTATTGGGGGTGTTACCTACAATAACTAAAGGCTTAAAATAATAAACTGGTACCACGGATACTGAACACATTTATTCACACCAAATTCCCATTTACCAATGCGCATTTTCGCTTGCTACATACTCTTTTGGCATTCCACGAAATCTGCCAGTGGCGTATCTAGCAAACTTTATACATACACTACATGGGTACAGATTACAACTTGGACAACCGGGTCACAATCCTTTGATGTTGACAACTTGAGTCCTAATAACATCTAGGGTTATTTTGGGTGATATTTTTTGTAAGCAGTTTTACAAATAACTAAGATACAACCTCGTAAAATTGAACAACTTTCTTAACATGCGTTTTAATAAAATTTAGAATTACAATTTTTTTTTATTTGAAATTTACACTTTATTGAATGCCGCTCTCAACCTTTTTTATAAATTCCACAATGAATTATTGATAAACACTTTTACTTGGTGTTTATTGAATATATCTACTTGCAGAGATTCACTATATTTAATGTCTATTTGATGTCCTGAAAACATATGTAGCTCCCAGCGATATATTGTTCCCGGAATCGTAGCTGAATCTCGTGGAATGTATCTGCCGTTCCATCAATATCCATTTTTCACCACTCATAACAGTTTCAAAAGTAACGCCTGCGGTAAGGTGTCTAGTTTGAAGTAAATATTTTATTATTTTTTGGAGGTCGTTATAGATTGAACGCAATTTTAAAAAATGTGGCCCATAATATTCCAACCATTAAAACATTTTAATTTTTAACCTTTACAGACGAGAAAACTTGTAATATAAACGAAATGATTAGATTTTAAACACAGACTGAAATACCACTAAAAGTATTGAGGTTTGTAAAGCATTGAAGTTATTTAGGCTAAATCGTTAAACTTCAAACAATACAGGGTGGGCCATTAGTGCGAGGAAGATTGCGGGTTTATTAAGGTACATTTTTAAGATTCATTTTTGGGCATGGTGTAGGACCTTTAAGGCTACAACCTAAAAATATTTTCAATGAAATTCCAATTGTTCTTCAGTTATGTTTTTTTAATAGGAACTTCCTGTATATTATTGCATATTTGGATTCCTCGGTCAATTTTAGTGTGACTTTATGTATCACACATGGTATCTAAAATGAGTCGACAAGCAGCAATTCATTATTTTTTCAAAAAGTAGATGTCTAGTAAAAATTGAATATCGCAGTTATTATAAAACTTAGAAGGCTGTGACTCTACAGCATGAAATGTTTAAAGTAATCACTACGCCAATTTGCAAAATTTCAATCCAAGGTAACTTGATTATTTTAAATGGGACTACCAAATTTTTTTCATTTCATTACATGCAGAATTCGATTACCTTTCTAATGATATAAAAATATGTTGATATTTATCTTTTACAGATTTTTTTAAATAAAAAACAATTGTAATTTTATCGAAAATATTTTTAGGTTATAGTCTTAGAGGTCCCATACCATGCCCCAAAAATGAATTTTAAAAATATACCTTAATAAACCTGCAATCTTCCACCCACGCACTAATGGCACACCCTGTATATGTAAAAATATTTGTACCCTTTGCCCATTAAGCCATGTAAAACTATATATACTTCATACAATATTAAAACCAATGCAACAACAAACTTTTTACACCAAGTTTATCGCCCTGTAACTTTGTTAGGAGTCAGTTTTTGATATAGGTAAATATAACCAAATCCACTTATTTTTTGGTAATCTATCTGATGAAGAATTTACACCTTTTGGAAACACCCTGTATATACATAGATATTTATTGTGTTTTTGGAATTAGATTGCAAAAATATTTTAACAGTTTTAAAGAAAGAAAAAGTTAGGAGAAATTAATTTAAAGCGTGTAAGACAGCAAAAATTATTATAGCCTTAATAACAGTTTTGTTATCTTAAGAAAGGGTAGCTTTAGAGCATCCACTGTAAAACCCCATTTGATATTTGTTCGCTCCTAGCTTAGCGAGGCTTAGGCAATAAAGACAAGTTTACGCTTTTAAGATATTTCAAAATAAGCCTCGCATTTAGGGGAAAATCGGTTTCAATAAATTATCTAGTCAATGCAGGTAATCTGATAGATGAAATGGTATAAATTTTACTTTCATCTATATATTTTCTGTCCGTAAAAACATTCGTTTCCCGAATTTGAAAATTCCGTGAATATGTCGTAAATATTCGATTTTTTAACGATTCTGAATGAATGTATGCATACATTCTAGGGCTATAAATAAGTGATAGATATTATTTCTGCGAATTTAAAGTTTAAATGACTTAATTTGATTTTGTCGAATGAATTTTAAAATATACTCACTCTAATTGTGCTCTGCAGAAAATCCATTAAGATGTCAACGAAGGCGAACATGAAAAAGAAAAAAAAGTAATTAGTATTAGTATTCAAGAATATTCTAATTATTAATTCAATCATTGATTTTACTATTTTTCCAGTCTTTGATGTTTATAATTTAGGACAGGCGCGGATACAAGAAGGGGGAGGGGGTAAAAGGGTAATTACTCCATTCCGAGCTGCTCGAAGAAAAACTGAAATTTATTAAATCAAAAAAAACCAAATGGCTGTGAAGAATAAAATTATTTACCCCCTCCGAGAAATCCTTTTAGGTCCGCGCCTGGTTTAGGATAATACAATAACCAATACGAGTTTATTTTTAATATAAACAGTAATACACAAAAAAAATGTTTTAAAAGTAGGCTATAGCCACAAAGACAGTAAAAATGGGGTAAAAAATAAAAAAAAAAAATAGGTAACAGGTAATTACTAATTATGTGTTGTATATCAAGATAATTTTAGGAAGTAGCTTAAATGGCTATTAATCTAATAAAAATTGACTTAAATTAAATATTTCTTTCTAAAACATCCTATACAGAGGCACCGAAAGCCAGCTCGGGTCCCGAGACAATTTTCCAGGTTGGGCCCCGTGAAAATATCATAAAAAAATTATATGACTTTTCTAAATAAAAAGTCTTCAAGCAAAAACTTCTCTTCTTTAGTGAAATCTTTAAATAATAAAAATCCCTTTTGTGCCGAACTTCTATCGCCAAAGCTGCTGGGTCCCCTTGTGTCGCTCCGAGCCCCAACTTGAGTCCAGGCCCAGGGAATTGGTCCTAGCTACTCCCCCTCTTGTCGGCCCTGATTCTGTACTCTTAACGAATATAAATAGCTCAGCTTTTGATCTTCAATTTATTGAAAATGTCATAATAATGAGTTATAAATGCAA